AGTGGTGCAATTATAGCTTACTGCAGCCTTGACCTCGGGGACTCAAAGTGATACACCCACCTCAGCCTTCAAAGTAGCTGTGATTACAGGTGCACATCACCAAATTTGACTGATGTTTGTATTTTTTGTAGAGACAGGGTTTCACCTATGTTGTCCAGGCTCATCTCAAACTCCTGGGCTCAGGTAATCCACCTACCTCAGCCTCCCAAAGTGTTGAGATTACAGGTGTGAGCCACTGCACACAGCCTGGATGGAATTTCTGCTTTACAATCAATCATCTGAGGATCCTCTCATAGTGTGATGTCCTTCCTTGATTCAGTGGATACACAGCTATGGATATGGATATTTGTCTACACCCAGATGCCCATGGTATCCCAGGATTTAGCTTCCTGCAGTTAGACACTCATTATTGCTCTTTTAAGTAGGTGTATGCTGGAGGTACCTGCCAGAGCAATATCATGCTCTGAGCATAATCTGCTCAGCTAAGGAAAGCATGTATGACTTCCTTGAGAGCATGGGTGGCTATAAATCCGGCTACAGATGCTCTCAAAATGCTTCAGAGTCTTAAGACAGGAGGAGGACCTAGGGATTAGATTCAGGCCTTCAGACAACAACAAAGCAGGATAGCAAGCCAAGGGGATGCTCTCTGTGCTTTATGGCAGTGGTTCCCGAGCTGGAGTGGGCATCAGACCCAGTTGTGGGGCTTATTAACAGGGCCCCACACCTAGAGTTTCAGATTCAGTAGGTCTCAGCTAAGGCTGAGAATTTGCATTTCTCACAATTTCTTAGGTGGTGCCAATGCACAGAGCCAATGTTCTATAGCTTCTTTCTTTCTGTTTAACCCTTGCTACCAGACTAGGATGGGGCTTTCCCACAGTGAATAAGGCCTAGGCCAGATTGCACTTACTCACTAGGACCACTAACCTCATTCATGGGAGTATAACAGAATTTTCACTCCTACCTAACTACCTGTTCCTGAGGCTGCATCTCTTTTTAATTTAGATAATCTAGTCAGTGGATTCCCAGAGTCAGTTAAAGCACCAGTGCTACACTGATTGCATGAGCAAACTTACACTTGTTAAAAATACAAACTCCTTTTCCCTGTCCTAGGACATTTTAAATCAGTAGGTCTGGGATGAGGCCTGGGACCTATGTTTTTGACAATCTCCTCTGATCATTTAATCCACTTCAGATTTATCTGTCCACAGGGCTTGAGTCTTCCTTTCTGTGGTCACACACAATATGTTTCACTAGTGCACATTTATTTTGAGTTTGTTTACCAAGAACTTAGACTATACCCTTGGTCAGGGGATTAGCAACCTTTCAAAAGAAGCATGCCCAGTATTTCTTTATATAGCTTTTCATCATCAGAGGTGGCAATGCTAGTGGAATGGCCTTTGCTTCAGTACTTTAAAAAAGCCCTGTGGATACTGAGTTCTTCAAAGAAGCTCTGTTCCTGGCATATTTAGAAGTTACTGTGTGCACACAGGTAACCCACTCAGCTGTTCCAGAGGAACAAGGCCTTCGCCCTTTAGGTATATAATGTGGGCAGTTGCCCCACTGTAGGGGTTGGCAAAAAGTGGAGAGGGCCCTTGCATAAGCTGATAGATAAGTTTAGTAATTTCCTCACCCAACAGATAATCACTGGGTATCTGCTCTGAGTCAGACAAGGAGGTATCCTCTCATAACCAAAAGATAAACAAGAAATAGTTCCTGCCCTCAAGTATTCCACAATTTTGAATCCTAACTTCAGATGCTATCTCCTTACCTCATCTGGCACGTGCATTTGTGCTGGTATACATACCTTTTGCAGCATATAAACTCATTTGATGCATGTGCCAAGGACTGCCAGTTATCTTATACACACACACACAGCCTTAAAACAAAAAAACACCAATATCCACGTTGAGTTACTAACTCTAGCATCAGCTGCAAAATTTTATTTTAGGTTGCAGTTCACACAGTTGCCTTTCAAAAATTTTCTTTATGTTGTTGTTAGTTCTCTGTGTTGGAGTTGGTCCACAGTCCATTGGAGGAAAAAACAATTGTATTTATCGTTGTATTAGGGAGAGGAAAATTCCTCTTTTTATAGAGGTATAAACATATATTAATGACTAGATACTAGACACAAAATTTTAAATTAATACAATACTAGACACATTATTGTTTATAACTATTCGTTACACTGGATCTAAATGCAAATATTTTACATTTAGATACAATGGATTGCTTTATATTAAAATTTACGTGATGCTCCTGTCTTCTCGAGTTTAAGTCAGTCGTGAAAGGATGCTCAATCTAGCTATATTTTTTCTGGAGCTAAATATAGTGAATCGTATAGTTTGAAGGTGTTACCAGCCCTCTTTGCTTTTAAGAAAGAAAAAATGCACTGTGGAAATGCTGTCTCTCATTTTTAAGGTCATTGATTGGGTTAAAAAGGCAAATGACTTTTTTCGTTGAACTTCCTTCAATTAAACCATTAACCTTTTAAAATAAGTGCATTCAAAAATCTATCAAAAAAAAGCGAAATGAGATTTTAACAAAATCCTGACAATTTCAGCTTAAACATATACACAGAAACCATATGTGCTTAGAAAGAAATATATACACACAGGCATTGTTTACAGAGTGTGTTTTTATATTTGGAAGACATTGAAGGAAGAGTTATTCCATACATACATTATCTGAAATGTACATTCAGATAGCCTACATAGATTTCACATTAAGAGACAAAGATATCTTTATCCATGGTAGGTAGACAGACAGACTGACTGACTTCAAACTTGCACTTGCAGTGTGGATTTTTTTTTCCTCATCTCCGGGTACTGCTTTTCAAAATCGCCTCAGGCTACAGAACAGCACCTCAGATCCCCAAGGCCCACTGACTGGCTCCTAATAGCCACTCTCCATCTGTGTCACATGAACAGCTGATGAGATCGCTCCAGTGTCTGTATTTTGGAGAGCACATCCACCCAGGTTAAAATGCTAGGGTTGCCAAGGAGCAGTCAGAAGCCATTAGTGTGGGTGAGAATTTGCCTTGCAGCAGTTTCTTGGCATGGTGGAAAGCATGTGCACGTGTCCCCGCACGAGCTTGGGTGTGTGTGTGTATGTGTGTGTGTGTGTGTCTTCTTGTCCAGGCGACCCCCTGGTGTACATGGGTGTGCAGGGAGGGTGACAGATGAAAACTAGACTCCGTATATTCAGTATCGAAAGAGTCAAACGCCTCTTGCTTTACTGTGTACTGATTTGTTCTTTGACTATATGGGGTCTTTTTTATTATTATTATTACAACAGAAGGCAAAGAAAAAGAGAACAGCAACTTCGGGGTCATGCTCTAGTGTTTGGGCAGATGGAAGGGAGCTGCTTTGCCTTGGGGCAGGGTGGTTGTAATGAAGTGGCCTGTCAGTCTGTAAATAGTGAGGGTCATCTCTTCCATGTGATGGAGGGTATCGCATTGCAGTGAAAATGGAAATGTCAATAAAATTAATCTGCCAGCTCTTTGCTGTGGCTTTTCTGCTTCTCTGGTCAAAGAAGGTTGAAGTCTTTTTTGGCACGAAAGGAAAAGCACAGGTACAGGGAAGCCCACAGAGCAGACCCAGAAGTTAGAAGGCAAGTGGCCCAGTGTGTAGGATGGCTGTGCTGTAGCACAGTCCGAGAGGAGGGAGCAGGGCTGGGAATGAGCTGCTGGGTCGCTCGTATTCCTCGGGAAGCTACAGAGCGTCCAGCTCAGGCTACATTGAGCACGGAGTTTATTGTTTTAGGCTTTCTTGGACAAGGTTTTTACTTAGCATGGGATTTATGGCATTTACTGCTAATGAATGTCTATTCTTAAATTACAAAAACCCCCATCTCAGTGCAATTCCCAGATGTCCTTCCAGGACCCTGGCTTCTTAAACACCAGCAGGGAGCATAAACTCTCTACTTCTCTGTTTTCCTCTTTCGTGTGGCTCCAGGCTAATGATGTGCAAGGAAAACACAGCCATCTATAAAGCCCCAGTGCTGTCCCCGTATTCTTCATTTATTTTGCATTTGATTATGCCACAAGTCGGATCTTGTTTCTTTCCTTTTTTTAAAGTTATTAGTTCAAATATTAATGTAGGGATATGGCATATATTGCTGCTCTTGATTGATGCCTTCCCAAAAACAGGAAGACGTGCTCGTATGAATTTTAAGAAAGTAGGGGTCCTGCAATGCCTTGCCAGAAGAGTTTTTCAGATACATAATTTAGATGCCCTGCAGGCAGGCTTTCAAGGCATTTTTGCCGGAGGGCAAGAAAAAATAACTATGACTGTTAAAAGTAAATGATTTTTGCTAATGCACAATTAATGCTGGAGAAAAGCACAGAAGAGAAAGATGTTGATAGAAACTTCTGATTAAGTGAGCACCCTACCTTGATGTGTATCTTTTTTTTTTTTTTTTCATGATAATGATCAGTGGTGCAGACAGCTAAAAGTTTTCATGTCATGCAAATGCTGAGTGCAGGGTCATAGGAGAAGTGTGTGAATGTGCGTGCTTAGGAGGTGACAGCTCTAGGAGGGGCTGAGCAGGCAGTGCGTTATGTGCAATGAACAGTGACACAGTTACTGTCACCTATGCAGGCAGCCTAGAATATATAGACTACAGAACATTTAACTTGATTACCCTACAGTATGTGTTCACTCTGGGCTTGGGGATGCGTTTCCACCCAATGGGTTTTCTGATGGCGGTTTTCCCACATTGGATTCCATAATTGACAAAGAGCTACTGCACTGTGTCAAGTGCACAATTATAATTGAATTAATGATATGGGCAAGTGTGAGACACACAAAATTAACATTTGAAGAGGCCTGGTTTAATTTTGTCTTTTACATATTTGTGTCTCCAATTATACTTTAATGAAAGAGAATATACCCGCTTAATGGATTTCTTTCAACAAGCTTAGCTGAGCTCATCATTAGCTGCACTTGTTGTTGGCACGCTTGCGATGTTTTCTCTAATGTATTTTTATTTCTTTCTACTAGGGGATGGTTTAGACAACAGTGTAGCTTCACCTGGTACAGGTGATGATGATGATCCGGATAAGGACAAAAAACGCCAGAAGAAAAGAGGCATTTTCCCCAAAGTAGCAACAAATATCATGAGAGCATGGCTCTTCCAGCATCTCACAGTAAGTCAAGATGAAAGAGAAAAAAAAATAGTTTTTGTTTTGCTAGCAAGTTGTACGGTTTCATACAGATTGTTTTTTTAATTAAGGTGCTGTTTTCTTATTCTTGAAATCTGATGAGTAACAGGGCAGTTGAGGATTTTATCAAGTATTACCATCCAAAGAGCACCCTCTAGAAAGTAGCAGGTTTTTGTTTTAAGAAGCCGGGAATGGACTTTATTCAAAATGGTCTAAGACCCTGAACCACAGATATAAGTAAATTTGTTATTTATGCTAAAAGGTATTAGAGCAACTTTGGGTAACGCAATAGCAACCAAGGGAAATGGCTGTAAGGAGCTCACGAATCCATAAACATTGCTGATTACACTATTAACAAAAGCCATCTCCTCTAGGAGGAAAAAAAAAAAAAAGCATCTTGCCACATGCATGTCCAGGCTCACAGTATCAGGTGCAGCTTTAATTGTTGAAGCAGTTTGAAAATATGTCATGTATTTATATGACAAATTCAGAAGGGTTATAGGTGCTATAATGCCTTTGTTTGCAAGGTGGACATTAAAGATTCTTGTTTTAGCTGTTCAAGTCCATTATCTTAAAAGCTAACCCTGTTGGTTTTACTATGTGCAACGTTTTAAAACTAACAATTTATCTTCCTGTTTGCAATCCTTGTATGTGTGGATACATACTGTTGACTCTAAGACTCTCATGAGAAAAAAAATATTACAATATACTTTTACAGAGAAACTAGGCATGCTCATCTTTTACTGTTCATTTGGAAATTCTGGGAAACCAGTAAAAATTTCAGATGATGCTTCTTGCTATAATATTGTTTTCAGGCCATTCTATTTAGGCTAATACTTAAAAATAGAGTAGCACATTGAAAGCTGAAGGTCTTCTTTGATTATCTAACTTGTGCGTTGCCATGCTGAATGACATTAGTTACAGTGTCATGGGTCCAGGACAAGGTTCCACTTTTATTTATGGTGGTGGCTGCTGATCTGCTCTTCTTGCAGAGCTACAAAGGGCAAGGGGTGGAGCGGTGGTGGGGAGGGAAAAGTGATAGATTCACATTCCTAAATCGGCCATTTTGATGTAAGGACATTAGTAGCAAACTAAGGTGTATCGATCCGGCCTGTGGTGTCAGGATTAGCTGGGAGAACCAACGGGGCTGCCGTGGTAGTGGTTATTCTTGCCTTGCAGCTATGGCCATTTCAAAGGTCAGGGCCCTGCACTGACTCGGCTCAGAGGAATTAGACAGAACATGCGGTCTCTGGGCTGATTACTTAACCAAAGACAAAATAATGAGTCCTAAGCAAATACTGACTAATTGAAAGGGCTGTAAATCCATTACATATTGGTCAGGGATAATCAGGAGTGTTTAATCACTTTTATCTATTCAGGAGCACTGAAGCTGCAACAGCAAAGCCCTGAACCTTGCCATGTGGTTATTATTCTCATCATTATCAAAATTACTTCACAGCTGTTCTTTGCTACATCACCTCAGCTGGAGATTTACTAACCTGTAAAATGTTTTTAATTTGGAAGTCGAGTGTGAGGGGAGGGGTTTCTCATTTTTAAATGAAGGTTGGTTTGGTTAGAGTAGCAACTAAGAAAGGCAGCGTAGCTGCGGATGACGGGGCCAGCTGCCTTCTCCTGACGAGCTCACCTGGTTGGTTCCCTCCCTCTGTCTTCCTTCATGCTTGGTCTTTCTTGGTGGAAAATAAAGACTTCAGCAGTTGCTCTGCACGCAAACAGCTACATGTGTTTTCAACTTCTCTGTCATCAAAACCCATGTCAGAGAACAGTAGAACCTTAGAGAATGCAGCTGCTGCGTTTACAGATGAGGAAACAGAGATCCAGAAAGGGAACTGACTAGCAGAAGGTCAAGCTGAGGCAAGGACCCAAGCCTTCTAAGTCCCCAACTTCGTGATTTTTCCACATTATGATGACTTTGCCAAAATGATGATCGCGTTTAACAGTTGCATGGAAATCTCACTGTCTTCACCATCAGTATGCTCAGAGTCACAGGGGAGAAACATGGAGAAGCCAGGTGCTATTTTCTTTTCTTGTTTTGAAACCTGCCTGCTACCCCAACCTTTCCAAATAGAGAATGCCTTACACCTGTAGTCTGTGAGTTGACTCTCAGGTGGGAGTGTTAGGAGCCCTTAACGTCTTATCTCCCACCCAGCTACCCAGGACGGCACCCAGCATGCACCGTGGCCACAGGCTGAGAATTGTGGGTGGCCGGTTATTTCTGGGAGCGTGTTGTCACTCTGCTGTGCCACGAACCAATGGTAAGAGCTTGTACGCATCTCGAGAGTGCTTTCATGTAGTGGAACGTATGCAAGGCTTTGTGCAAAATTCTCTGTCCAACTACAATTTTTAATGAATGCCTGTCCTCCAGGTGGGGAGAGAGGACTCAAATAGCCTGCGGTCGGGGAGTGGGGAAGTCTGCACTTCACACTCTGTGATGTTGTCTACTGGCTGAACCTCAGTGAAGTCTATTCAGTTCCCTGGACCTTCTGTTTCCCTGTTTTTCAAATGAGAGGGACACTTTGCAGGATGGATAAGCTCCTTTCCCATGCTCCTAAGTTTCGGTTCTGCTCAAGGACATTTAGTCAGAGCAATGCCCTGTCCCAGCCTCATGGGTCGTTCTTTCCACTTTTCCCCCCTTTCTCTTTGCTTTTGCTTTTCACTAAGTGCTTTATTTCTCTCCTGACCTTCTTCACAACATGCCCCTTTCATTACTTCTCCCACTGGCTTTGTCTCCCATCTTCCTCTCTGCGCCGCTCCCCTGCCTTTTCTGCACCTCCCTTGTAGCTTAAGGAAATTCCCTGCTTGCACTTTGAAAATGTTTTCCTTCTTCATCCACACTTCACCCCACTGCAGAGAAGAGGTTCAGTAACTTTGATGAGGATGGTCCTGTAACACTTTTACTTTCCAATCTTTAATGAGCTGAAAGATTTACTCAGCTATAATTCTGAGCTCAGAAACCAAGAATAGAGACCCCTAACTAGCGACACGTTAATTTAGATTTCTTTTCTTACATGCACTAACAGGCATGAGGAAGTCCTTGGAACTAGAGATGCCCCACTATATTTTTCTGTCATTTAATTAATTTCAACTTTCAAAGTGAAATGTTGGCTCTGGCTCACTGAAAATAGATGTAGTCTAAATTATTATTTCATGTAAATTTCTTTACAAGTGCATGATTCACTGTGCATTCCTCCATTATTAGTCTCTTTAACATGATTTGAAACCGGTTTGTCCCTTTTGTGCAGTGTGACCTGTTCTTGTATTACAATAATCCCCGATGTACCCTTTTTTCTTTCTTTTTAAAAAAAAAGAAGCTAATTGAATTATCTCATTATTTTAATTTGTTAAGCAAATGTATTTTGCATCTCAGGATGTGTTCTTAAAGAAGGGGGCTGCTAAGGCTTTGCCCCCTGAATGGGCCATTGGCCCATTTTGACATTCATGCATTCATTAACTAGCAGAACATAAAAGAACTCTGGTTGTATTTTTTTTTCCAAACACCCAACCAGCGTGGAGCAACTTTTCCCAATAAGCCACAGGGGTCTTTCTACATATGTTCTCAACTGCAGGCTATTGTCACCTATTCTGAATACCTCAAAAGGCCCAGAGGTGGAAAAAAACCTGCCTCAACAAAGACCAACTGTAGCAATTGTTAAGTCTTAGTCTCAATATGACAAAAATCATTCACCCTCAGTTTTCTTGGAAGAACAAGTTCCGCTGACTGTAACAGTTAAAACAATCTCTCAAATTCCTATGCACCGCCAACTTTAGGGGGAAAGGTAACAAACTTGCACTAATTGATTACACTGAGGAAAATATTTAAACAAAGTCTAAAGTGTCATTTAGAAAATCAGGTTATTTGATAAACAGTTTCCATAGTCAGAATTAAGCACTTTGAATTTGCTTAATCTGGGGCTAAATATTAATAATTAGCCTCAAGTTTTTAGTTTCTAACTGTTTTCAAAATGGCCCTTAGAAAAATCCCCTCTTTAAAAACTCACAGAAATTTTAACAAAATAAATCTATCTATACATATTTTTAGAAAATCCTCTAGCGAAAACGCTGTGTATACCATTACCTTTTTCCTTTGGTTGATGGTTCTGTCTAACTCCTCAAGCAAAGAAATCCAGTGAAGATTGAAGAATCTCTTGGAAATGGGTGTGCCTTTGCTGGAAAGTACCCAGTGGCAAAACAAACAAACAAACAGACAAAAACTTAGGGAACTCCTACAGAAGTACACATGGAGATTATTTTTTTGGGAACACATGGAGATTATGTTATCATAAAAGTCAGCCTGCCATTACAACTGTTTTTATTTGACTTCAAAGCTGAAGAAAGAAGCAGCAAGCAATAATACCCAGGCTGACAGTTTATTCATAACCCTGAAAAACTCCTCCACACCAAGAAGCCCTTAGTGTGCTCAATTAGGCCCTCGGGCACCTCCACTTGCCACCTTCAAGAGCTCCTCCACTTGTGCTACAGATAATATATTTGATCATGGAATAGAAACAGGAAGTGCTCACACACAAAGACACCACTTGCTCATACCAGTTTCTGGCTAAAGGTCTTCGTATTTGAAAACATAGGGATAAAGCTCACACTTAGGAGATGTGGGACTTCTTTCAAAGATGTGTGTTATAACACCAGAAGCAAGTTTTACTTTTCAAAGCGATATAAGCCGAGGTGGGAGCATCGCTTGGGGCCCAGAGTTGGACACCAACCTGGGCAACATAATGAGATCCTATCTCTACAAAACAATAAAAATTTAGCTGGTGTGGTCTCACACTTGCCTGTGGTCCCCGCTACTCAGAAGGCCAAGGTGGGAGGATTATTTGAGCCCAGGAGTTTGAGGCTGCAGTGAGCTAGGGTGGAACCACTGCCCTCTATTCTCTAAGCGACAGAATGAAACCCTGTCTCAAANAATTCTTATTTTAATCTAGTTAAATAGCCAGCAGGAGGCTTTGACCAAT